ATGAATTGATGAAAGCTTACTTAATAATATTCCGTTATTTTCTCTTTGGCCTGCCACTTCTACTTAGCATTTAGTAAACAAACATCTCTTCAGGAAATATCTGATTTACGCCAAATCATGTAATCTACGCCAAGTAGTTGTCAGAATCTAAAAATCATTCATCGACTATCGTTCACTTCCGGATCCGTATCTATAGCTCAGAATCCGGATGGGAATTCTCGTTCAAGAATCCGGGACGAAAATCAAATGTTATCAGAGGCAGAGAGTTGGGGGCGGGGGGCGTGGGAGGGGCATTTTTTGTGCAAAATTTTAAATTTTTATTTCATTCTAGCAGAGTAAATCAAGGAATCATAAACAAATCAATAGTGTCTTGAAAAATATAGCTAATTCTATTGTTAAATTTTGTTTTGTCGATCTCTATACTCCCGGTACTGTTAGTTGTCGATACATTTTTTACTCCCTACTTATAACGTCTAATCGCCGCTAAGGAATGTAATTATGAGAAAAAGTTATTTAAATAATATTCTCTAAATAATGAAACATTACTTTCATTTATGTTATTTACCACTAACTACTTTATATTAATTTTAATTATTGATTATCATTTTTATCAATAAATTACAAAAAATAATTCACAATTTTTAATTCCATTTTAAAATTAGCCTTAATTTATAGATAAAATTAATAGTATAAATTAATTTGCAGTCTAATTTCATATTTAAATGTAATAAATAATAATTTATCGCATTAAGAGTATGCAAACCAATTAAAGGCACTTATTTCTAATATTAATTTATCTTTTAATTCTCTTATATTTTTTATACATTAAATATAAACAGCATTTATAAACTAGTAGTCTTCTGCGACCAGTTTTTTTGCCGTAAATATAATTTCAATTGAATCTCTTATGCATAATTTGATATTCTGTTCCCTTAAAAAAGTAATTTTAAATTTTATTTTATTAAACTTTATTTATTTAAGTAATTGTGACTTGTGTTCTTTTGATAGCCTTGAATCTGTTCTGCTCATTATCTACATCAGTGGCGAATCTAGGATTCGGGTCGGGGGGTGGCTGAGGGCATAAAATTTTTGTATCGTCGTGACGAATTTCAAACCTTAAGGCTATAGTAAACCAAAACTGTTTAACTTTATAGACTTTACTCACCTAACAATAAGAGTCATAAACAAAAATACAATACTTTCGATAATTTAATAAAAATTACAATGAAATAACTAGCCAAAAAATGTCTTCTACCGCGTCAAAACTACAAATACAAGGGGAATGATTACAAAAGTAGGAAAATTTTCGAGCCTGTATAGCCAGAAAGCAATGTTGAAACGTTTTTATTATTTTTTTAAAAGAGGGAAATTAAGAAAAAACAGTTGTAATTATTTTAAACAAAATCAAGAATTCTGGCTTGGATCTGGGGAGGGCTGTAGCCCCCCCCCCCTTCCTGGATTCGCTACTGGTCTACATGAATGTAACTGTCCGTGTCATCTAATATATATTTGCATGCTGTCAGCGCCAACTTCACTTCTTATTCCTGACAGAAAATATGCATTTGAATGGAGCGTCACATTTTACGTCCAGTGGTATGTGAGCTGTATTAAAACATGTCGATAAAAAGAATTAAAACATAGCAACCATGATCATTAAGCTTACTGGATACACACACACACACACATATACAGGATTATTTTCTAATATACTTATTATCTTAGAGGATTTTGTTTACGGGTTTCACAGAAAAATTGATGAAAAAAGAAAAGGACCTAAAACCCATTAGGATATTTACTCTGGGTTTCAACAATGGAAGAGAACGAGCAATTAAATATTTTTTAAACATTGAAAATGACTTGAATTTAATTGCAATAATATTTAATGTGTTGAATGTGGTAATGAATGATGAAATTATAATAAAATAGATTTATTTACATTCAACATAACCAATACTAAATTAGAAAAATGCATCAAGACGATAATTACTAGAATTGTTCTTGAAAACGAATGTTTTTTTTTTGCATTCGTCAGATATGGAACTCTGGGATGACAGAAGAAATGCCAGAGACATTTCTACCAAACAATGAAACGCAATCAGACTGTTCTTGCAGCCAATAAGGTGTAAGGTGTTGGAACAGCTAATATTCTGATAGCTTACACAACAAATAATTATTTGTAAATTGCAATTTCTTAGCAGAGTATTATTGTAAATTATGCCTAAAAATATTTTTAATTTATTAAAATTAGAGAAAAAATCTGTACGAAATCTTAATTCATATCATTGAAACAATTTTTTTTTTTGAATTTTCAGTTGGAGTAAAAATCATTTCTCTACAATAATATTTTCGGAGGTTATCAAGGAAAAATGCCAAAAGTTCGCTTAATTTTTAATGAATTAAAATTATAATTAAAAAATCAAAAAATATCTCCGAAGTGCACATTCAAAATCCTCCAAAGTATGTTTGTGCCAAATTTCGTAGCTCTAGGCTAAGTAGAGCGCCAATACACACACAGATGCATATACATTCTTCTTTATTAGTAGTAGATATATATTTTCACGAGATAGTTACAATTGTTTACAGAATTATAATTATAAAAAAATTTATCAAATTCTTACTTTTGGAAATTGTCTTTAATTTCCATGGAATGTTTGAATTTATTGCAAATTAACAGCTTTCAGTGCATAGCATCATTGTTTGAATTTTTTTAAATCAATTTAATTGTAAGGATTGGGGATAGAGGTTATTTGTCAAAATTAAAATCCAGAAAATTGGAAAGGAAAATTCCTTTTTTCTCTTATTTTTATGTAAGAGGAAAACTGATAAAATAGTTCTGAATTCATTTTTCTATTATTGAGCTAGTTTTTGGTATTTAGCAGCTCGTTAGAATTGGGTTTCTATATTTTTATCCGAAAGCAGCAGTTTAAACAAAAAATCAAATATTTAAACTAATGAAAATTATTAAAAAGAAAAACATAATGTTGTTAATAAAATACTGTTGAAACTACACATATCGAACTTCGATATACTGAAAATCTCTATAACTCGAACTGTCTTCAGGAACTTCGGATCTTCATTAGAAGGCTTCTGTATAGCGATTAAAGTTTGTATATATCGAAAAAGAATTTTCGCATAAGAAAAATTATATATACCTATCTATTGGAGTCAAAAAGCGGTGAGTTGCTAGCTTCTGTTCTAAGAATCCCTTTCCTAACCTAATGCGAGATTTTTAATTTAACCGTTTCAATACAGGTGGGACATCTTTCCCTTCCTCTACTGACAAGAAGTACATTCAAACCAATGCAATTTTTTAAAAATCAGGGTTATATTTTTAGATTTCCGTTTAGAGGCCATGTAAAGTAAGCCAAATAAAAAAAGCATTTAAAGCCTTGAAAGTTAACCTTTACATGAAAGAAAAGTTCAGTTTAATAAAAAAACGTAGACAATGAGATGAAAAAATATCTCCAAGAATAAATAAACATTTAGTTTTTTTTTTTTTTTTGTAAACGAACGTACATTTTTTTAGTAGGTTGCAAACAAATTTGCAATATCACATAGCTTTTCTTTACAGAACAACCGAAATTCTTCTCGCTGCAATGCCAATATCTCATTTTTTATATAAACTGCCCTAAATATCTGGGCTTTGAAATTATGAAACAAAAATTGTTCTCCATTTCGCATATGCGCAGTTAAAAATTATTTACTACAAACACTCAACTTTTCTCGAATATTCAATGCATTTACTTCAAATTTTAATAAAATGCTTCTGTAGCATGGTGTCACTTATTCGGAAAGTTTCGTATAATTTGGTTGACAACTGTGCTTGTTATAAGAAAAAAATGTGGGAAAATCTTGGGTTTTTTAAGGAAGACCCTTATATCTTTCCGAATATTCATGCTATTTTTACGAAAATACATGTAAATATTGCACACATTAAACAAAACAAAGTTGCTAATTATTAGCAGGTTTCTTCGAAATGGGGTGAGCCTAAATCATTTTCTTCATCAATTTCTGGTCGGTCCCCTAAATGAACTCGTGACCGAATCTTCAATATAAAATGTGAGTTCAAGCCTATTATTTACATGGTTGAAGTTCAAAGAAAATTTATCCAGCCTTTCGGGGGATATACGACAAAATGTGCAAATCCAAAAGTGTTCACATTTCTTTGTCACCCACCTGTATTTTAAAAATAAATCAATCAAAATGTAATTTTACAATTCAAAATATTAAATTATTACCTTTTCAGAAAAAAAAATCCACGAGCTTCAAGCAAATTCTTATGTGACATGCGATAGAATGTCGAGGAATCGTCATAAACAGCTGCAGTAAACAGTGCAGTCAAGCTGTCTAAATAAAGCAATGTGTTCAAAAATGAATTAAAGATTGATAAAGGTTACTTACCGATATAACAATTGGGGATCGATTTATATGAAATATAAGCTTTCTTTATAAGTAATTATTATTTAAAATTTCCAGATTCAGCTTGACTCGCGTTAGATTCACAAAATTATGCACAGAACTACAAAATGAAACACCGAGTTTTTACTTTTCTCATTACACAGGGTCAGAACGAAACGATCTTTGCTTTGTGGTACCCTACTGACATTAGTGTATAAAATAAGCTTTAAATAGACCTTCCATTTTCACATTTCTGATTAAATAATTATTTAATATATCAGATTTTAATCTGATTGCATGGAAGTTACTGTTAAACATACACATGCGTGAAAGCATCCAGTTTTTATAAAAAAGAAACAAATATCAGTATTTCCAAGTCTAATATTATAAAATTGTATATATAACGAAATTTTTTTAAATTCCTTTTTAATAAGACATACTAGAATGTGTAATGAAATATAAGCAGTGCCTACTAATTGGAACATAACTTAAGATAATTAAGACTCACTGTAAAAACTCTCTTTTATATAAAAAAAAGGAGACACAAGAAACATATCGTTAAAAAGATCTCTTTATTATAAAAATGAAAGATTCATCTTAGATCTTTGGCGCCGGGATAGAACCGGGGATCTTGGGTCCCGAGCCGAACATCTTATCCACTAGACAAAAGGAATTCTCAATGTTAGGAGGTGGATATTGGCTAATATACATCAGAGTAAGATGGTGTGGCACGGTACGCCACAGGAGCAACCCCCAACTTGTTTGATATTTGAATATCAAGGAAGCGATGTGCTGCGTGCATATGCGCAGATTGCTGCCCAGATTGTTGGTGCGCAGGCACGTGCAGACTTTGTGCTATGAAATGGTCATAGACTTTGCGTGTTGTGAAATGCATCACAGACTTTGTGCTGTGAAATGTGTCACAGGCTTTGTGCTATGAAATGTGTCATAGGCTTTTGAATTGGAAGAGCTGCGTTGCTCTAGGTGTTGTAGTGCTGCCATCTGGTGAAAGTAGCAGAAGATGGAATTGATCTTATTTTTGTTGCTGCCCTCTATTAGTGGGACTGAAAGTTGTTGTTGCGTGTTCTTTGTCCACGAGTCACCATTTTGGCGCCGGGATAGAACCGGGGATCTTTGGGTCCCGAGCCGAACATCTTAACCACTAGACAAAAGGAATTCCAATGTCCGGAGGTGGATATATACATCAGAGTAAGATGGTGTAGCACGGTGCACCACAGATCCATATTAACAAACTGATTCTGGGACAAAAGTAAAACAGATATTATCATGGTCGATTACATTTTGCATTAAACATAATATACAGGGAGTCTAAAAAATGCATATACATTTCAAAAAAATATCACATAAACAACGAATAAGACACATCAAAGTTTCAAATTCAAATAAATCAATGCATTAATTATCGCCTGAACTAAAATAGTCATCATTTTGAATTACGAAATCACTTACGGGGTCTTGCAACTGAATTACTGTGAGCACAAGATTATGACGAAAAGGGAGCTATGAGATTCCCTTACCCTCATAGTATCTCACCCCTACTGGGATCATTAAACAGGATAATTATAACTCAATACTAACTACAAGTGGCAAGTAGAGTGCAGTCATTGATTCTCAAAATTATCAATTAATATAATAAGTGATTACAGTTATTCCATCTACTGACATTATCAAAAGAACTAGATAATAACATCCGTCATTTCGACCATTTTTGATAATTTAGAATATTTATATTTGTATTAATTAATTTGACATTTGAAACTTCTATGTACGTTATTGTTTCTTTCTGCCAGTCAATAGTGATTCAAAGTGTTACACAGTGGTTAGACCTCTGTACTTTCTGATCTTGTTATAGGATAAAGTTTGAAGGTATTCTTACAAGTACAATTTCTAACACACACAGAGAGAAAATTTAACTATAAAAAAATCCATCAATTCAATTAAGATTAAAATGAAGTTCGATTTTTTTCCTATTAAACAAGCTATAAATGTAAAGGAAATAAACTAGAGATATATAATACTTTTATTTACGCAATAAAAATGCCTAAAATAAAAAAAAAACTGCCTAATCTCTATAAAATATTCCAACGGTATTGTTCCATTAAATCTTCACTTACTGCTGCTATTCGTCTTCAGTGTTTTAATTAAAGAACTTGCACAACGAAAAATAAAACTTTAGTCATGTCTTCGAAATTTTAAACACAAGAATTCCCAATTTATGAGAACTGTTAATTTCAAAATGGATTTAAGATACAGATTAAAAGACAGGAAGCAATATTAAAAAAAATCGTAATAAAATACAGTGTTATATCATCATACTTCAGTAAAAAATGAAACATAATTTATAACGCACTTCTGTGCTTTATAAATTATGTTTCATTTTTTGCTGAAGTATGATGATATAACACTTGATTTGATTACGATTTTTTTTTAATATGGCTTCTTGTCTTTTCAGGTATTATATATCTGTTATGATCATGCCAATAGTAATCATTCATAAGTTTTATCTTACATTAAAACATAAATTAAGAACGCATAAGATGTCAGAGAAGATAACTCTTCTACATATAATAGACAGATATTAAATGGAAGTTGGTTGAAGCTTATTGGTTTATGAATATATTTTAAACGAATGCAATTAATTACGCTACGTAATTGTTTCAAAATATTAATTTAGACCGGGGGTTTTATGAATATATTTTAAACGAATGCAATTAATTACGCTACGTAATTGTTTCAAAATATTAATTTAGACCGGGGGGTGGGGAACCAGCGGCCTGTTTGAGTTTCTTATGCGGCCTTACCAGTTATTTATAATTTGCATTTAAGTAATATACTTGTCTGTAATATAATAATTACAGAACAATAACCTTCAAGATTTTTCTCGTGCGGTGTCTAGCTGCCGAAGCTTAACGAGGCCCTTTTAGAGCAAAAAGGTTCCCCCACCCATGATTTAGGAGTTTCGTAGAATTTAATGGATTAACATTAAAAGAAATTTTGATAATAAGGCATGGTATAGAATATGAATTAATTATTTTTTGATGTAAATCCACTTCAGTTCTTAAAACTTCGCCACGCAGTAACGCTTTCCATCACATCTAACAGGTTTCCGTCTAGTATTCGTCTGTGTATGCAGCAGCATATAATCTTGGCGTGACAATGCTTTATTACTAGGGGAAAAAAAGCAACTGTTCTGTACTACCTGGCACATGTATTGTGTTACATGAAATGAAATAAATCGATGGAAGTAAAGTTATGTAGACTGCTATGTGGTTGATTGATGGAAGTTGTCATGCATCACAAACACATAACAGTCCCAGTTATGTTTCCCAGTTCACAAGCAAACTGCTTGTCAAAATGGGAAATGGAATGTTACTAATTTATAAATCATTTCATATTTAATCTTATCTTATGTACAAATGATATGTTGGTATGAATGAGTGAGTGAAAGATTGAATGAAAGTGGCGAAAGAGAATGAATGAATGAGATATCTAAGTGGACGTAACTAACAAATTATTCCCTTGCAGCTAACAAACTTACACTTCCGGTAAATCAATTATTTAGATTCAAGTCAATTTTTTAAGCTAGGTTGAACGGAAGCATTTATTAGGTTTCAGATATTTTGAACTTCGAGTTTGTGCGCTCCGTAAAACCTAGTCATCACTGGTGTGTACAAATGATTTGTTTCTTTTAAAATCTTTAAACTACACAAGTATATTGTTTCTTTTTGATATATGTCAGAAAAGGTCTGTTGGAAAAAAACACTGGACTAAATATCACAGGTATATGGTTTATTCATTCTCTATGGCATGCGTCAGAAGATGTGTTTTTAAAGCTGCTGAATAAGAAAATTTTTTACTGAGAAGATCACACGAAAACGGTTTTTCTTTTGTGTGCGTCCGTAAATGTGTGTTTAAATGCGACTTCTGAGAAAATGCTTTATTACACACGTCACATGCAAACGGTTTCTCTTTCGTATGCGTACGCAAATGCGTTTTGAAATTCGACTTTTCAGAAAACGCTTTGTTACTCATGTCACATGCAAACGGTTTCTCTCTCGTATGCGTGGATAAATGCACCCTTAAACTATGCTGTAGAGAAAATGCTTTACTGCAAATGTCGCATGCATATGGTTTCTCTTTTGTATGTGTCCGTAAATGTGTTTTTAAATTCGACTTTTCAGAAAATGCTTTATTACACATCTGACATGCAAATGGTTTCTCTTTCGTATGCGTCCGTAAATGTATTATTAACTTCGAACGTTGTGAAAATGTTTTATTGCAAATGTAGCATGCGTACGGTCTCTCTTTTCTGTGAATCAGTAAATGAGCCTTTAAATTCTGTTCATCGGAAAACGCTTGTCTACATAAACCACAGGCATATGGCTTCTCCATTGTTTAAGAAATAAGAAAATGTCGTTTTAAAACAAATCGTTCGAAAAAAAAAATCTGTTTAATTGGTCACAGGCATGAACTTTTCTTTAGTTTCAGTTTGCAAACAAAATTTTAAAGGTTCGTATAATCCAATTTTCTAGCTGCATATGTATTGCACACATAAGGTGTTTCCTTTGTACGAAAGTACCTTTAAATTTGTTTTCTATAAACTTGCATTACTATGCAAGTCATAAGCATAAAAGTTCTCTTCTGTACACACGTATAAAATTTACAAATGTATATTAATAAACAATAAAAAAATATAGCGTGGATCAGAAATATTACATCTACCGGAGAATTATTTTTTTCTATCTCATGGAGCTAGATTCAAACCTAGAGACATCGTATGTTGTAGCCTAGATATGGGAATCGTGGAAAGGTCTCATCCTCTCATTTTCTGCCGGGAAAATGTGGAGACTCTGTAGCCGTTCTCTTTGCGAGACACGCTTCACACCATTCATCGACGTCCCACACAACACAGCTTCGAAAACTAAAAACAATAAAAGAACTAATGAAATTTTACACTCACTGCTACTGAAAATTGTCAAACGTATGCAAGATTAAAACAGATTTAAAACCCTTTGTAGTAACACGTATACAGAGAGATTAGAAGAGAAGGTCCCAACTTTAAAAGGCTACATCTCTGCAACTAAACAACTTACATCTCCTCACTAGAATAAACCACTTTAAAGGGGATATTTTATGGTTTCTTCCAAATCTGTCACATTCCGATTTATATAAAAATTTACAGAAAAGCGTGGTTACTCAATTAAATTCAAGAAACATCCTTAGAAATTTTGAGAAATTATTTCTAGATTTTTTTTTTTTTTGCTAGTATGAGTAAAAAATTGGTAGTTATTTATCTCGAAAATTGTCACAATATAGAAGAAAAGCTCAAATACAACGGGTTCAGAAATCAGGAAATAATGTTAAAATCAATAATTTTCCAACGAAAAAGATATATTTGTCATGGATGGAGAATTTCAGGCAGTATAAAATAGAATGTATACCAGTAGATGGCTTTGCAAATGGTGAAGCGATGTAATCTATATAATTGGAGGTTCGACTGAGTAAGGTTATAACCCTTACCCCAATCCTTCTCGTCATAAATATTACAGGCAGAGAGATATGGGGCGGCACTCTCTCAAAGATGCAACTACACAATTCATAGCAATAAGTAACATTTCTGTTGGTATTAGAGACGCGTTACCTGATGGC